TCTTGTTCAATATCCTAATACATACTGTTTCCTCTTCATTTACCCGTATTTAGTATTGTATATATCTAAGGAATGTTGGGGTTTTTTTTCTCACAAATGACCCACACTGGAATATAAAAAACATCTTAAACCCTTAGGTACTTGTCAAGTATAATCAGTGTCAACAATCAGTCCATATTGTATGACTGTTCATGCTGTAAGATAACATATGGACATATAGTGACATTTTAATTGCAGCATATACAATCCCATCTTTAGCATCTAACCTCTATTGAACAGTCAAATGAGAGTTCTCCATCGGGAGCTTGTTTCTTTTTCACTCATTCTCCGTTTTTGTTGTTTGGGTTTACATTATGTATTTCTGTTCCTAGTATTGTATATATCCAAAGAATGTTGTTGTTTTTTTCTCACAAATGACCCACACTAGAATAAAAAAAACTTAAACCCTTACCCCAAATGGAAGTATTACAGGGCAGAAACCTGTAGATATAAGTAGTCAGCTATATTTTTGCCGCGTGTACCGAAGCATGGTGGATTAATTGCTGCCACAAGACGACTTGAACTGGAAAGTCCCAGTCTGCTGTAAACCAGAGCACCATATCTCGTTGATGGTATTGGTATCCCGCCTCCGAAGACAGCCCGAGAAGTGGTAGACCAAGAGGTACCCCCCTGCACAAGATCGCTACATCCTGCTCTTACATCTACGCATAGGCGTGCTGCTGCCTGCCACCGAAACTGCAGGACATGTGCCTGGCTTGAGGAGAACATCGACCAATCACAGACCGTCTGCGAGAGGTGGGAATAAGATCCAGAAGACCAGTGCATTGAGTCTTGTGGGACGTGTGCAATGGCTGCAATGGAACAACTCCCTACAGGCATGGACATTGTGTCTGGGTCAGTAATGAACCTCTCGATTTCATTACTGCCAGAGACGAAATTAACGTTTTAAACCGAAATGCGTTCGAAAGGTCAACCGAATCGTTGACGGAAGTTTGATGATTGTGAGCCATTTCCTACTCACGGAGAACTGACCTGATGGTTGTTCAGGGGAACCTGACAGCAAATCGGTAGATCAACCGAATTCTTCAAGTCGCCTTCTTCCGATTCTCCACCGATAGAGACAGTGTTTCCAACATGGCACCGCTACATTACACACATGTTGTGTCACTGTTGACTTCCTGCGTAACTCAAACGTCAATCTCTTCCAGAACTCCGGATCTGGACCCGGCAGAACATCTGTGGGATGAACGTGATAGACGTGGACGTCAACGTCAACGTCAGCATACTCCACAAACACTTCACAACTGGCCAACACGTTGCAAGATGAATTGGGGCGAATTCCACAGGACAGAAGTCGTAGACATATTCGATCTGTGCAAAACTGATGTAAAAGAGTTAACAGCAAACAGTAGCCACACCAGGTACTGACAAAAAACGCCCCTTCGTGGACGTCCGTGTCTCTTGACGGTACATTCAGTATTGCCATTATGTGCACAGAACATGTGACCATCGCAAAGTTAAGATTCGTCCTTGTCACAGTTAAGTAAAGCATGCACGTTCAATTGAACGTAGTATGAATTTTCAAAGCTATTTTGTGCGTTTCTTGTTTTGATAAATGTAATTACTCGCCGTGCTCTAAGACGCTGAGGGGAGGTAGCATAGTCTAATGATTACAGCGTGTGCTCGCCACACTGAAGACCCGGCTTCGATTAACGACATAGGTATTTTCTTGCACCGTGATATTACTGGAATGTTGTTATATGCGGCGTAAAACATGTTCATTCACTCTGAGATGCCCAGTCAAGCAAACAGTCGAGCTTCGTAACAACGTATGACGTCAGGCAGCTGACAACCAGTTACACAATGTGGCCCTGAGAATGGCAGAAGCTGCACGTTTACCTCTCACGTAGGTTGGTCTACAGACTGCCCGCGGGCTGTTGACCACCGGCAATCAGTTGACCTATCCCATGTTAACAAAGTCGCGTAAGATATAATCAATGTAATTGTCAGTCGTTGATTACGAAGTACATAATGATCGGTACTAGTTTTGTTTCAAGGTGTCAGACGCTGGTGTTTTGATACAAGGCACTGACAAATATAGCCCACCACTCCAATCATATAACCGGATTGTTAAAAGGAGTACTGGTATCCTTATATTGACACCTCTCTTAACACCACATATTTGTTGGTTGTTTAAGGAAGCTATATAATCGAGCCTAGACCATACAATCCAATGACTGGCAAGAGCAACCCTCCACACAGAGTAATGCTTGTATGTATGTATGTATGTATGTATGTATGTATGTATGTATGTGTGTGTGTGTGTGTGTGTGTGTGTGTGTGTGTGTGTGAGTGCGTGCGTGCGTGCGTGCGTGTATGTATGTAGGTATGTATGTATGTACGGATGGATGGATGGTTGGAAACAAATATACCCATTTAAACTGAAAAGGAGGCCCAGTGAGATCGAAGATTCGGAACCTGGGGAAATCTAGATTTGCTTCATTTAGGATTTGAGCATTGGAGATGGGCTAGGCAGTAGGGGAAATAATGTGGTTCAGGGACTGTGTGACAGTCTAACCTCCACACAGAGAGTGTGATGAGACACAATGAGCACACCCTGATCCGTTTTGTAGCCTCTTAGGATCAGCATATCTCTTCTATGGGTCATAACTACGTTCCCATACACACGCAGATACACTCACTCAGGAGCGGTCACATATATCGGTCATGAACGTTGTTCTACTGTACCGTAGCGGTTAACGTAGTAAACCATAGGTTGATCGTGGTGCCATGCTACCAGGTGTACTATGGTCAACACAACAGTTCAGTAGGGTTAATTACAGTCTACTCGGGAGAACTATAGGGTCAACCACGTTCAAACTACGGTAACAGTAGGGTCCTGGCCTTCAAGCTAACCCCAGTAGAGATAATCTGAACATGTTGAAAAAATCTGGTCTGACCACGTCCAAATCATTGGTTTGCTGAAGTTCAAAGTACGGTCATAACTACGGTGATCTACGTTGAACTACGCTTAAATACGTCTAACTACGTTTAACTAACGTCAAATACGGGTCTACTACGGTCAACTACGTTCATTCCCCCCCCTACGGTCAACTACGTGTGTGTCCGTAAGATGTGACCGCCGCTTCAAACCTCTTGTAAGCATTTCTCTCATCCCTACAGCAAATTGACCCGTGCCATCCAATCACTGCATTCTCAACGCCTCAGTAAAAACCAGCATGTGAAGTGTACACAGTTCTATAAAGCAATCGGTTTGAAATATATTCTCTGGCAAATCAGTCTTCTCGATAACTTCTTGTCATTAGTAACTTAAAATGTCAACCACTTTAAAGCTAAAGCTAAAGCTAAAACCGCACGATGTTGGCAGTTCGTACACCGAGTGATAATCATGTGAAGATGAGTTACCTGAATGCGACACCTTACATTTACCTCGCAATCCGTCCATGAATATATGACACTTTACAGCTGCTCCGACAAAAAATACAAGTAATGATTCCATTTTCACGTAGCCTTGGTACAAAATTGAACAGCAGTATACTTTCAGTGTGACAATTCCGATATACTTATCTATTAAATTTGTACCACATAGTTTTACATCCCAAACTGAACTCATCTTTGCCTCATCTGGGTAAAATTTTAAATCTTATGTGTACAGCATAAATTGCTCAGAGGAGGGTACCAGTAATTTCTCAACTTACTGGGGGGTTTTCATGTGTGCAGTTGTTTCACTGTGTGCGTGTGCGTGCGTGTAAAATTTATGATGCATTATAGTTGATATAGACTATACTCAGTTTTACGAGTGACCACGATCCAACTGACCTCATAAGTTTATTCGGTCCTTTACCAGGGTGAGTCCTGAGGAGAACTGTATCCCTCTACACGAATGTAGGAACTGTGTTTGAGTCCGTGTCGTCAACCATGTCTGTTATGTTGAAACTCTCGTCACTGTATATACGTCTTACCGACGTGCTTTGACTGGTTAACGAAACGACATTGTCGGAGCGGATACGAAACAGAAAATGAATGGAAATGGGGAGAATATCAACGTGAATTAGAATATTAAACACAAGGGAATGAAATTTTAATGTGAATAAAAATGTGGATACAATTTTAATAGAATGGACGTTTGAATGAAAAATGAAAGTGAAAATGGGATTTGTATGGACATATGGAGAGGAATGGCAAAATACAATTATATGAACATGATTATTGATATGGAATCAGAAATTGGAAGTAGATTAAGAAAATCCTAATGTGAATTAATCTTATGTGATTATACTTTATCATTTATCTCCATCTGAGGCTTTAACACATGATTAAGACACAGCAGGAAACGAACACCGGGCGATGCTTTTCGTGGTCATTTCTTCTGATTATTCAAGTTTTTCGTCGCTATCATCTCAACTTCTCTAAATAAAACTGCTAATACAGTCAAACACTCGAAACATCATGGGTCGAACTTATGGTTGCCATGAAGGACAAGCTTGGCCCCTGCCTATTCCTCATCTTGTCATCATGTTACGGTTGTGTCGAACATTGGATAACTCGAAGTACCCGTCAACTTCGACACAGCGGTGTTTGTACTATAATACAGAGATTAAAGGTAGTGCGTTATAAGTCAATGTAGACTTTAAATAAGAAATTCAAAGACAGCCTTAGACACCCTACCGTATCGGATGGATTTACACCCTCACTCTACATGTAAGCAGACACTGCCGTTACGTATTTGACCTATTTTGAAGTAGACAACAGCGATATGCGTAATAATGTACCCGCTTTCCAAAAACTATTCTGGATGAACAATTGGACACTTGTGTTTGTCATGTTATCCATCACGCTCTGATTCACAAACAAAGTAACACATCCTGGGAAATATCCAGCTCTAAGAATATCTGCGCCATACAAATCAAGGTGTATTGTCATTGTACAAAACTACTTCCTGGTCCGACGAGTCGGTTGATATGAGGCCACGTGACTATACATGAATTTACTTCCCTGTTGAATCGTTGCCGAAATATGTCGTATATACTTACATGACGATGTAATTCAGGGAAAGACGGGATGAGGTAGAGCACGGGATATACTATCGAGTTAAATAGCAGAGCAGACGACACTTACAGAATGGCGGGAATTTACAGGAGTAAACTTTTCAGACTGTTCGCCGTGGCAACGTTGATGACAGTTTTACAGGTAAGTGGGAGTATGTACGTCTAGGGCACGGCGCCATTGTTTTGTCTGTTGACGGGATTCGAGGGGTTTCGGGGACGAAGACTGGGTATAGAGTTGTATGTCTGCCGTATCGTATGCTTTTTGGTATTGGTAGTGTCTTACTGTATTATTTGTACAGCGATTTGTTTGTCCTGTTTAAATACTTTCGTGTACTGGCATGTTGGGTTGTGTTCTATTTCAGTCGCCAACTCGGGTACCCTGACTTATCGTTATTCAACCTGTGCTTTTGAAATTGAAACCTTTATGTATTAGACAAACATATTTGAAGTGTACGTGTCGTGTCTTCACTGTGTCTGTGTGTGAGATGAATGTTATATAGTTTAGGTTGCCTTGGTGCATAGGACAGATCTAGGATTCCATTGACAACGGAATATATCTGTTTAGAGACTATTTATTTACGATGCAGAGGGATTGTGTGATTGTTCTTAGTACGGTATCAGATAATGCTGAACCCCTCAGTTTTAGTTCACTTATCCCGTCTATTGCCCTTTTCATCTTAACTCTTCTCCTACTTGTCCCTCTCTCATTATAAACGCCTCCTCCCCCTGGCTTTCCACTTACTCTCCCTCCTTTCTCTCGTTCTCTAACCCCCATCTCGGTTTCCCTATCTATTCTCCCTTCATGTATAACTACCACCATGTACTCTATCTCATCACTCGTTATTATTTAATCTCATGTCCGTCTCTCTCTCTCTCTCAAAATTATAGTGAAAAATGGCGGTTCCATGAATCTCTCTCTGCGTGAGTCCCTATAATGTTCAATCATGGGCATATATATACATACATACTAAACACGGTCTACGTTTGAGTGACCGATTGCCCAATGTAGTGTACTTACACCAATGAAATTTATTGTGTGTATTCCATTATTATCAAGAATAATACTGTAAGAACGGATATTCATGACAGTGCGACATCTGCGAACCACGAGTGTTACAACAATGATCCTATGTGTCACAATTTGTCAGTGACACAGGGCCTCGTCAGATAGAGAAACACAGGCCTCTGACAATCGTATGTTTTTCTGTACATATCGAAATATCGTTGTGAAACAGGCCTTTTAGAATCGTATGTTTGTCTGTATATATCGAAATGTCGCTGTTTAATAGGCCTCTGAGAATCGCATATATATCTGCATATATCGAAATTTCGTGTTGAAATATCCCTCTGAGCATCGTATGTATATCTGTATATATATCGAAATATAAAGAGACCTCTGACACCTATTATCTCAGCAAACTCCTTTTAGCATCACATTGACTTAAGATGTACGCCATGCACAGAGCCTAAACAAGAACAAACCTAGGCGGTAAACAAATGGCCCGCATTTCAGTCTGCGTTTGTGTTCATAGTTTAATCGTATATGGTTTTGGTCATTAAACAATATACGCTGTTTTCACGGTAAACAGTTTGATATTGTACACTCAGTGATGCTCATGAAACACTAAGCATTGAGATCTTGTGGTGGCGAGAAGCAGTAGTGCCGTACGCCTAACTGTACTTTACGAAACGTTGCTTCACTAGTTGAATGTGTGCTGATAACTGCCAGACTCCCATCTCGGTTTCCTATCTATTCTCCCTTCATGTATCTCTGCCACCTCTGCCACCTCGTTATTATTTAATTCTTTCCCCCTCTCTATCTCTTCACTCGTCTCTCTCTCTCTCTCTCTCTCTCTCTCTCTCTCTCTCTCTCTCTCTCTCTCTCTCTCTCTCTCTCTCTCTCTCTCTCTCTCTCTCTCTCTCTCTCTCTCTCTCTCTCTCTCTCTCTCTCTCTCTCTCTCTCTCTCTCTCTCTCTCTCTCTCTCTCTCTCTCTCTCAGGATACCCCTACTTGACATTATCATTCATTATCAACCAGTTTGTCGGACTGGGAACGCCTGTCTATACAATTGGGTTATGTACTTCCTCACATTTCTCTGTTGAATAGTGTAATAATCCCAAACACACCTTTATGAAAGAACTCAAACAAAATGTACAGGAAGGACATGTTGGTGGAAATTAGCCTACAACCAGGAAGGCTGTAAAATGTAGCTCCTTCACCTGTTGGCATCAGAACATGTCATAATAGAACTCGATATGTCGGTTTCTGGTTATACAGCCATTTATTCCTTCACAAGCAGTTGCTGAACCGTCAAATTTCTTCCCCGTCCGTGAGCGTTTATACAGATGCCCGGAGCAATAGAGTTAGTTTGTTCGTTGTTTAATGCCACACTGATCAATATTCCAGCTATATGGCGGCGGTCTGTAAATAATCGAATCTGGACCCGACATTCCAGTGATCAACATCATGAACATCAATCTACGCAATTAGGATACTAAGACATGTAAGTCAGCGAGCCTGACCACCCATTCCCATTAGTCGCCTCTTACGACAAGCACGGGTTGCTGAAGACCAAATCTCACCCGGACCATAACGGGTCGTCAGTTGATGTGAGAGATTATAAACATTCGTTATATATCCCTCTACATAATTGGGTCTGGCGCAGGGTCGCCTTTGCAGGTTAACAGACATTAGAACTGTGCTGATCACTGATGTTCTGTTCAAAAGCCGTGATTAATTATCTGAATTCATTGTTAAACCAGAATGTACCCATCTCGGTGACGACAGAACTCATCTTTACCTTTAAAATTTAGAAGCCTTTGTCGTCGGCGGGATTCGAACCTGCGAAGTCCGCAGAAAGAAAGCTAGTCTGTCATACAGACCCTGAAGCAAATATATCCAAGAAAGCCCACGCAAGTCTAGAAAATGTGGCAAGTCTAGATTTCCTCAGCTTCTGAAAATGAAGAAAGTCTCAGCAGGCTCCTATTCAGTACATTTTTTTTTTTTACTATAAACTTTTTTCAGTAAAATATGTTCATTTCAGAGATTAGTTGTTAGTCTAAAAGAAAGCCTAAAGTTGCCACTGTCAGGAAACACGTACATCTCACGTACATCACACAGGGCCAACTCTAACAGTATCCCCACTATTCAGCACAGGGTTATTGAATATCCCTTAAATTATGGTCTTTTGAATAAATTATGATATTTTAAGTTCTGTTTCTTAGTTATGATGTAAATAAGGCAAGACCCCACTGCTTCCCAGAAGGGTGCTTAACGCCCCCGAAATAAGTATTAGATATACCCACACTTTCCGAGGTGTGTCGCTCAATGCCCCTACTGTTTGAGTCGTGTGGCCTCCGAGGCGCTAGCCGAGGAGACCACACGACTCAAACAGTAGGGGTATTGAGCGACACACCGAGGAGGTGTGGGTACATCTGACTTATACCTCACTTCTGGTCGAGTTACGAGTTTACTATAACACTTTATATTCTAAGAATGACAAAAAAATGTATTTCTTTTCCATCTGTTTCATTTATTTTTAGCCCACTGGTTAAGACCCTCAAATGTCCAACGTCTATAGTCTGTTTGCAGTGCAGTTATTGGTTTGTATTACAATTTTAAGGGGGTAAGCGCAGTAGTTGGAACAGTGAAACAAATGCCCGTGCGGTACGTAATGAGCGTTAACTTCGACCAAACCTACATGTTCTCGGTGTTTCATTTAATGCGCATACCCCTTGTAATACAAACCAATAACAGCGCTTTGAAACTATGATCATTGATACACCTACACTTTTGACAGGTGTACCGGTCAATACACCTACACTTTTAGCAAAGGAAACAATGGCAACGAGACCGGAAATGGGGTATAATGCTGGAAACGGCGTCAACTCATACTAAGAATACAGCCACTTTGTGCTATTGGCAAATATAATACCCAGTCTTGACTATCCTCAAACATAGATTCCATTTCCTGATGTAGTCATCATTCTGATTCAAAATGGAGCTCCTGCATATCATATCATTTTGTAATAACGGTCCGATACACAATATATAACCGACGTCATTTTGTATTTGTATCATAACCATATATTAATCTAAATATATTTAGTTTATGTATTGAAAGAAAAACCTAATCTGAGTTTGATAATAAATGTCAATAACAGTCATATTTATATCAGCGTATTCATTTTTGAAAGGCCTTCCTGGGTGAACCGTCCACCGTATAGATTAACGGTTTCATTGTATCGCTATTTATGAGGCACTTGAACTGTGTCACCTTGACTACGTTACAATGCGATCTGTTTTTACATAACCACTTGACGGATGATATATCGTTCGTGAATTGCATACAAAGACGATGATATTATGATTTATTGGTTAATACATACATCTATATTTACATGTATGCATCGCGAACAAATTTAATCAGCTTTAAACAACATATAATGTGAAACTTATGGAATATTTTGCTATATATTTGAAAAGAAACCTGCTCGTTTAACGTAATATGAATATTATATCAAGATACCTTAACATTCGTTCTCCTGCCCTTGTGCAAAAGCGTGATCTTAGGTATTGTACTCTTGGCCATGTGGTTTCTGATACCGAATATACGTCTTGTTCTTGTTCTTGTTCTTGTGGTTTGGACTGGTTAATATGGTAATGTTATTTCATAATTATACAAGTTGAAATATCATATATACTCATGCCAATAATGGTTTTAACCCCCCTTCCCACCCCAACCCAACACACACCTCACACCCACACCCACACCCCCACACCCCTCTCCAATTAAAAAATTGGAGGGGTGACAACCATTATTGGCATGAGTATAAAAATATTTTCAAAATTGAAAATTATATATGGTATGTATTTATGGCATGATACGAGTACGGCGACACTACATAATTACAGTTACCTTGATGAACGCAGACATACATATCATTTTCAAATTAAATTCTGGGATTTGGGGGAATAATTACAGTGTTTGAGGATATGCGGTGACAGGAACTGAAATATATCTCTGAGACGTCATCAGTAATTATTTATTCATCTCTACCGTTTCAAAATCATCACATACAATACTCAAAATACTTTCCAATGCAGAAAATATTTGTTTATCAAATTCCGTGACGGGCTGAC